TTTAATTTTTTTTATTGCTTAAAGTATTACAAAGGGTATTATATATGTGTCCTTTTTTATCTCCGCCCTTGACAATCCCCTGGCCTCCCCTCCCCCCCAGTGTCTTATGTCCATTGGTTTTGCTTATATGCATGCATACAAGTCCTTCGGTTGATCTCTTACTCCCCTCCCTTCTGCCCCCCAACCCTCTCTGGCCTTCCCACTGCAGTTTGACAATCAGTTTGAGGCAGCTCTGCCTCTGTATCTATTATTGTTCAAAAGTTTGTAATGGTCTTTATTATCCATGAATGAGTGAGATCATGTGGTATTTTTCCTTCATTGACTGGCTTATTTCACTTAGCATAATGCTCTCCAGTTCCATCCATGCTGTTGCAAATGGTAAGAGTTCCTTCTTTTTTACAGCAGCATAGTATTCCATCGTGTAGATGTACCACAGTTTTCTAATCCATTCATCTACTGATGGGCACTTAGGCTGTTTCCAGATCTTAGCTATGGTGAATTGTGCTGCTATGAACATATGGGTGCATATATCCTTTCTGATTGGTGTTTCTGGTTTCTTGGGATATATTCCTAGAAGTGGGATCACAGGGTCAAATGGGAGTTCCATGTTTTGTTTTTTGAGGAAACTCCATACTGTCTTCCATAGTGGCTGCACCAGTCTGCATTCCCACCAGCAGTGCACGAGTGTTCCTTTTTCTCCACATCCTCTCCAGCACTTGTCGTTTGTTGATTTGTTGATGATAGCCATTCTGACAGGTGTGAGATGGTACCTCATTGTTGTTTTGATTTGCATCTCTCGGATGATTAGTGACTTTGAGCATGTTTTCATATGTCTCTTGGCTTTCTGAATGTCCTCTTTTAAAAGGTGTCTATTTAGATCCTTTGCCCATTTTTTGATTGGATTGTTTATCTTCTTTTTGTTAAGTTGTATGAGTTCCCTATAAATTTTGGAGATTAGGGTAGGGCCCATTTTTTTTTAAATCGGAGGCCCCCAAAGGGGCTGCTCTCCAGAGAGGTGCCTGCCCAGCCCTACCCCACCCGGTCCTCCACGCATTTCCGGGCACACTGGGCAAACATTTCCTGAGGGTCTGTTCTGTGCCATCACCGTGACTGTAACAGGGAAGGACAAACCCACATGTCGCCTGACTCCTGGGGCTTCTAGTCTAACGTGTGTGGGGTGCAGGGAAGGACCACATCCGCCATGAACGAAGAAACCATCCAGGACTGAAAGAAACAGGAGTATGTGACAGCCGCGGGGGCAGGAGGCGATGCTCAGGCAGGGGCACAGGTCCTGCCCGGGGAGGCCAGCCAGGAGGCCCGTGCCTCCCCCATCGCTGCTCTGTCCCCCCTCCCCAGCGGGGTCTGCACCTTCCACGCAGCCTGGGGCCCCTGCTTCGCCGGGGTGCCCCCAGTCCCAGCACGGGCCTGTGTCTGAGTCTGTGCTGACCTGAACTCTTTGTGCAGGGAGGGGCCCGTCCCTGGCTGCAGGCTGTGTCCACAGCTTCCCCAGGGGGCCACAGGGGACCCCAAAGTGCACCCACCATCTTGGCCTGTGTGGCACATAGTAGGTGCTAGGTAACATTAGCTGCTGTCGCTCTGATTGTTACTCTGCGGGAACGCGGAGCTCACCTGTGCCTCCGTTGCTCAGAGCCAGGATAGGTTCTGCATCGCCGAGAGCGCGCGCGGGAGGGATTCTCCCAGGGTTCTGCGGGGCAAGGCTCTCTGCTGCAGGCGTTTGCTTTTCCCCTTCGGGCCAGTGGGCAGCGCTGGAGACATTTTGGGTGTCACACAATGAGAGTGTGTGTGCGCGCCTATGTGCGTGTGTGCGCGTGTATACACTGCTCGCATCTGGGGGGAGAGGTCCTGCTAAGCATCCTTCAATGCGCAGGACAGCGCCCCCACACTGCACAGCGGCGTATTGTCCAGCCCTGATGCCACTAATGCCACTAGCATCAGAGTCCACGGTAGGGTCCCTTCTACACAGGACGTGTCAGAGCCTCTCTGGGAAGATAGGCCGTGCTTTCCAGGTGGGTGGAGAAGTCAAGGTTTCTCATTGGAGGTGCATCTGGTTGGAATAGTGTCCAAGGAATGCACGTTGGGCGACATCCCTAGACTCTCGGCCAAGCATTCCTGGCGGAGCGGAGAAGGAGGAGGGGGACCCAGTGCCTGCCTGTCCTTGGGAAGAGCTCCGGCAGCAGCCCCGGTCTGCAAGGGTCCGCTCAGCAGGAAAAGGGCGGAACTTGAGACGGGCCTGCGTTCAAATCCCTTAACCCTGAGAATGTAGCTGGGACGATGGCCCCTGCGCCTCAGACCTCTCCTGGGACCCAGGACCGATAACACCCACGTGGTGGGCTCTCCTGGGGTTAGACGGTGCTCGGAGCAGTTCTGAGCAGAAGGAGCGTGAACAACTGTTTCCGTGGACTCTTGTCTTCCCAGGCCTTGATCTGCACCCTGTACATCCCTTTCTACTGTGGGGTGATCCCCCCCGAATTCAGAGGGGAGGTGAGTGGCCAAGGCCCTGCCCTGTGCTTTCAGCCCCAGGCACCTGCTGGGGAGCGGTGCGGGTGGAGGGCACCAGCACACCTTGAGCACCTACTGTGTGCCAGCCTCACCCCTGCTCCTGGGCTGCTCAGAGAGGGTACTCTACAGTACCCTGAGCTCGACAGACCTAGTGACTCGGGCAGCCACAGGAGGGCGCTCCTCGCGGTGTGGCCGGAGGGCGGGCGTCCTGAGGGCAGCACTCCTGCCCCAATTGCAGCGCTACTTCGACGGGGCCCTGAGCAACAACCTGCCCTTCTCGGACTGTCCCAGCACCATCACCGTGTCGCCCTTCACCGGGACGGTGGACATCTGCCCCCCGAGCACCTCGGCCAGCATGCTCGAGCTGAACGCCTTCAACGCCAGCTTCCAGTTCTCCACCAGGAACTTCTTCCTGGGGCTCTCCTGCGTCATCGCGCCCAGCACCGAGGTAGGCCTGGCCCTGGCGTCCAGCCTCGAAGGGGTGAGAGCCTCGGCCACAATCCAGGGCCCCGTGTCAGACTCTGTGCCCCTGAACCCTCCCCGCAGCCTCAGGGCTGTTGACACACTTGTCCCGAGTCTTACAGTCCAGGTCTCGAACCCACAGCCTGAAGCGCCCCCTGAGCGGGTGTGGCGTTAGACTGGCCTCCGCCGGGGCAGCGCCAACCCTGCTGGGCCCGCCGGTGCTCCCCTGGGCCAGGCTCTGTGAGAAGGCACCGTTATCATCTCCGTTTCTCAGGAAAGGACACCGCAGCTCAGAGAGGTTAAGTGACTTGTTCGAAGTCACACAGCCCAGAAGCTGCAAAGCCAGGTTTCCCATCCTCGGCCAGCCGCCCCATGCTTCCTCCTGCTGCCCTAGACTGTGGCCAGATGACCCGCTGTGTGGAGGCGAGGCGTACGCTCAGGAAAAGGCGGACAACAGACCCACTTTTCCTGCGTTTTGCCCCTCAGTCTTTCTGGAAAATAGGTTGTTTGACAACCAACAAGTTTTCATCAGAAGGTGCTCCCCCCACCCCCAACCAGCCGGGCCCTCTGCTGTTCTCCACACTTGCCCGGTTGTGTAGGGTTTTATAATATAAGGAACAAGTCGTGGAACACGGGCTCATTTTCTCTGACCTCCAGAGGGTGGGTGGACAGACGTCTCAGCCCGTTTCACAGACAAGGCCGCGAGGCGCTCAGGAAGGTCGAGTGGCCGGCCCAAGGTCACAGGGCGAGGGGAGGCGGAGCCACTTCCCGGCCCGCAGGGGCGTCTTCCCCACTGTGGGGCTCTGACCGAGCAGCTGGGCAGGGCCCCAGGGTTCCTCGGCCATCTCAGGCCGGTCCTGGCAACGGAGACCGGAGATCCATCCTCCACTGACCTATGGGCACCAGGCATCGTCCAGGCATCGTCCAGGCACCGTCCCAGGCACTGTCCCGGGCATCCTCGGCCCCAGGAGGGAACTGAGGCCAGAGAGGGGAGGGGCTGAAGCAGGAGCCCCAGCGGAGGAGTCGCAGTGGAGGGAGTGGAGGGAGGTCCCAGGTCCCTCCCTGCCCAGCGCTGGGCCCAGGGCCCTTGCGCGGTCTCCTGGGAGCGGCTGGAATCACTCCCAGTTGAAGACAAGTGTCCGGCCTGTGACCATCAGCCTAGGGGGGTCCGGGCCTCCCCCATCCCCCCTGACCTGTGTGTTGGCAGATGTTGGTCCACTACTGCAGACAAGGCTACCTGGACGCCCTGAGGTTCCTGGAGAGACGCGGTAGGTGACAGCGCCTCAGAGCGGAGTTTGGCCCTGAGAGGTGCCGACAGGGTGGCAGCGTGGAGAGCGGGGGAGTCGCTGTCACGGGGAGGCTCTGGCTGTGCTGACCGCCACATCCCGCCTCTCGCCCGCCCAGGACTCACCAAGGAGCCGGTGCTGTGGACGCTGGTGTCAAAGGAGCCCCCGGCCCCAGCCCATGGGACCCGGGACACTGGCCAAGACGGAGGCCAGAAGGAGGGCCTGTCGCTCAACTGGGCAGTGCCCAGCGTGCTGGTCAAGGACGTGCCCAACTTCAAGCAGCTGTCGCCGGAGCTGGAGGCCGGTACTGCCCCTCCTCCCGCACTTGCTCACCCGGCAGGCGCTGGCACTCAGGGGCACTGCGCCAGGGGCGTGGGTGGGCCCCTGCCCTGGAGGCGCTCTGGCCTGGGGGAGGGCGGGACTCTTTCTGAGTTCCTGCTAAGTGCCAGGGGTGCCAAGGGGCTCTTACACGCGGTGTCACTCACTTCTCACTACGCTGCGGGCCTGAGGGGTTTCTCACCCCATTTCGGCGATGAGGCTACAAGCTCAGGGCGGGGAGGGACTCACCAAGGCCTCAGAGCCTGCAGCTGGGGGATTCAGACCCAAGTCTGTGCCTGAGAAAGCCCGGCCTTTG